CGTTTCTGGATCTTATTCATCACAAATCCAGCTGGAGATCACTTTCAAACTAATATGCAACATGACATTTATGAATTATTTTAAAAGAAAAATATTATAATGTCAGCTTTTATAGGACTTTTCTGATCAAAGATTATATAGGTCAGTTGGTTTCCCAAATTGCTGTTGCTGTTCCATTTTGACAGCTGAAATCGGGGTTTCAGACATAGTAATGGTTTATTGTAAAGACATCCTGTCAACATTAAGATTTTTCCATTGTAACTAAACTGAACAAAGAACACCTATGAGATAAAGTAAAACCCTTGACCTGCAAATGCATCTTGTTGTTCTTAGGACATTTAAACTACTTGTTTACTGAAATGGATGCTAATTTGAAATATATTTACAAATACTACCCTCTCATGAGATAACAGCCAACTTTAAAATGAACACCAATTTGTTTAAGGAAACTGCACTTCTCAAAAATAAATATGATGTGTGCACCTTGAAAATCCTGAGCAAAAAGAAAACAAGCAAGATAAAACAATATGCAATAGCTATTAGTTTATAGATACATATTTCTACTGGTTTATTCACTGGCATAATATTAGTAATCAAGATGGAAAATATCAACTAAGCAGCAACTTATGTAGAGCTTTTTATAAAGACTGCTACAGATTGGTAGCCACTGAGCTTCAGTATAAGAACAAAGAGAATTCCTAAATACCTAGTTTGATCCTTTGTTTCTTCCCTAATAGTTTCCTTATTTCTAAGCTCCTACATTCATTGAATATATATCCTTATTATCCTCTCCCCACACTGCTTCCATTGTTTCTGGACATAGGTAAATAACTCCCCTTTCTGATGATGGCAGAGTAATAAAGTTCATGAAGACAAAATTCATGAAGATAACACTCATTATGGAAATGTCTCGTCTCTTCAGTTCAGTAATTCTCTCTTTAGTTGTGTTTATAATCTTTTGATGGGCACTAAGATGGCCCCCAACCATCCATACCTCCTTCAGTTACGCCCTTGTGTAGTCCCCTCTCCTTGGTACGGACTGGACGTGGTGACTTGGCTTTGGCTCAGTAGACTCTCTATAGACTCTCCCTGGCAGGCTGTCATGCTGTAACCTGCTCTGATGGGGTGGTCCATATGGCAAGGAACTGAAGGATGCCTCCAGCCAACAGCCAGTGAGGAACCAAGGCCCTCAGTCCAACAACCTCCCAGCAACTACCTAAACTTGAAACAGATCCTTCCCTAGCTGGATCTTCAGATGAGACCCCATCCCTGGCCAATATTCTGCAGTTTTATGAGAGACTAAGTAGTGGAGGACCCGGTTAAACCGAGCCTGGATGCCTAGCCCAGAAACTGAAATAATCAATGCATATTGCTTTAAAAAACTAAGTTTGCAGTTATATGTTATGCAGAATAGATAACTAATACAATGTTTTCGGTTGTTTTTTTCAGTTTAAAGTTCTTCATGCCTTTCACCCTTCTCCCATTCATCCTTAACACAATGCTTTGAGTTCTTAATTTTATTTATTGTTTTTTTTTCCTAGTTCTCAAATTTATATTTGGTGCTTTTGAAAATCTGCAGTTACATTTTTCAGTTCGCAATACTGTAATGAGGTTTTCAATGTTTTATCTCTTTGAACACAATAAACATTAAAGTGTCTCACAATCCACATATTTGGTGCCACTTTGGGTCTCTTGTCTGTTGTTTCTGCCAGTTTTCATTCTGGCTGTCTTTCTCCTCCTGTGCTATTATTATACAGAGATACTGAATTAGAAAAACTGTTTGTAGAAATAATTTGAGACCTAGAAAAATGTTCTTTCTCCAGATTTGCATCTTTCAGATACCTAGTGCACTAATTTTTTTGAAAATTAATTTTTTATTAATCCTTGCTGAGGATATTTTTTTTAATTTAAAGAGAGAAAGGGAGAAACACTGATCATACACACCCCACCTGAGGATCAAACCTGCAACCTAGGTATGTGCCCTGACCAGGAATCGATCCCAAAACCTTTTGGTGTACAGGACTAGGCTCCAACCGACCCACCCAGCCAGGGCTAGTTAACCCACGTTTGAAATTTCAGATTTCTCTGACCTATCCAGGTGACTCAATTCTAAGCCACATTCTGTGTGAATGGTTTACTTGATTCACCCTTACCCCAAAGATATGGTCCTTCAGGATCTCAAACCAAGTTATTCCAGTTCCAGCCTTGGAGGTGCTACATTCTCTTCTGTCCTGGTCTCACGAGGCTGTTAAATGCTACTCATTCGCTGGCACCCTCCTCTTAGTTAACAAATCCCCCTTCAGAGCAAAAACAGGCCCAACACTCAGCTCCTCGTTCTGGATTTGTATTTTCTCCCAGCTGTTTATATGCCAATTATTCACTATCTCGTTAGCTCTTTAATGCTTCCAAGTCTGTTTTCAAATAATCTGGTACACCATTTAGGGAAGCAGAATTCAAGTCTGTATGTGTGTGTTTTTAACAGGTTACCTTGCAGCTTTCTGGCTAGCCTGGTTTTCAATCACCATATGGGACCCTTCTTGTCTGAACATCCTGCCCCTCCCTCCACAGCTGGGGAGTGTGGTGCCAAAGACCATCTGATTTAGAGTAGGAGGGTAGACTAAGTACCCAGGGTAGTGTCCAAATGTTCTCTGGCTGCCAATTTTAGTTCTATAAAAATGGGCATAATTTCTCCTGACCACCTAAGTGAACTGTCAAAACCAAACCAAACCAGGAGTCAGTTTGCCCTCTGTGCTGCACAAGAGGGCGCGAACAGATGTTCATGCACGTGGCCAGGTTACTGTAGGCTTCACCCTCTAACTCAAACACCAAGTTTCGCTTGACTTAATTATCTCAAATGAAACGGAATTCTTCTGAATTGATTGTTACTGGGATGTACGTTATTGGAACAGAGTCTAACAAGTCTGCAAAGGTTGAGTTTTGCCACCAGTATTACAAGTTCTTAACAGCGATCTGGGCCTCCAGGGTCATAAACTCAAGGCCTCAGGAAAAAACACTTCACAGAAACTAGTGAGATATGCCTGACTGAGTTCACCAAGTAAAGAGAACTAAGAAACGGGGCTGTGACCCTGTAGGGACTATGTCCCCTCCTGTCTACATGCAAGAATGTAAATTGGGAGTCACCAGACCTTACAATTATTGACAAGAATCTGAAATGTGGATGTTTTATAGCCCCTTTCTTTTGAGGTAACAATGAAAACAAAAACCCAGTGTGGGGTCAATATAGAAGGCACAAAGCTCAGGTGCTCAACTAATGACCCAAATGCCCATTCCAGCTCCAAACCCACCACCTTCATTATTAGTACTATTCATGAAGAGAAAACTTGTTGACTTTCGAAGATACTAACAAAATGCTTGCAGCATGAACACTTTTGGTTCACCTGGACTGAAGATCCAAAGAAATACGTTCCAAATGGCTAACCACCATGCAGGCTTTCATTCTCCTAAGATCAGGATAGTTTGTAGCCATTCAAACCTAGAATTAAAATAACTAAAAAATACTTGCTCATTTATAAAGCTCTTTGGGATACATATAGCTGTGTTACATACCTCTATAATATGAGTTAGGTCATTAGGCCATAGCAAAATGAGTACGGTGATTCTCCTTTTATATAAGTGTCACATCTAAAAGATGCTAAATTTATGAATATCTTCAAATCAACACAATTTGCATAAAACATGTTCTGAGGATACATGTTCAAATTAAAATACTAAGGGGTCAAGTTTATAATCATTACACACTTACTGATTTTTAAAAAAAGAATGGTCATTTTCTTCTGTCTTCAGTTTTTCTAAACTGGCTTAGTTTTTGCAGATTAAGTCTATACATCACCAAACAAGCACTAAGGTAAAACTTCATTTCTTTTGTCCAAAAACAAAAAGGTAACAGAAAAAAAACAAAACAAATGAGGTCCTATTTGAATTTATCAATTTGGATTTCCCATCAATTCAATTAATTTCTAAAGAATGTTACATGTGCATTTTCAATCTAATGGCAGTTCCTTTACACTTTTAACAAACCAAATCATCTTTTTAAAAATGCAAAATGTCAAAATCACAACCTACACATGAAACTTCAGATTTAAGTACAAATTATTATAAAACATCAGGCCATTACTGAATTTCGGATTCATTACGGTTGAAATTGGTATATTAGCATATTATTTGGGATTTCTGCCTTTATATTTAAATGTACATTTAACCTACGTGTTTTTAAAAAAAAGAATTGGATAAGCTTATGGAACAATTTGAGTAGCATTCCAAACTTTAGGTTCGTTTCATGGAATTTTCAAGAATTCATGGATAAACTGTAATGATCTGGACCCTTGTAGGGAAATGACTTAGAAATACTTTCCTTTTCTTTGTGGTCCATGTAAGTTTTCTATCCTTTTTTGGTGAGTTAGATATAATCACCTTAGGGACAGAAATGCCATTGAACTGAATCCTAAGCAGTTTAATTACATAGAATTTTAAAAGCACTTCCACATACACTAGCTCATTTAACCCTACAACTTGCTGAGACTGTGTTATGACAGCCCACAGCAAGGAGAGTGACTCCACTGCGAAGTTCAGTGAGTTAGAAGTGAGGGCCAGGGTCAGGCGCCCCCTGCACTTGGAGCCCACAGCCCACAGCAAGGAGAGTGACTCCACTGCGAAGTTCAGAGAGTCAGAAGTGAGGGCCAGGGTCAGGCGCCCCCTGCACTTGGAGCCCACAGCCCACAGCAAGGAGAGTGACTCCACTGCGAAGTTCAGCGAGTTAGAAGTGAGAGCCCAGGTAAGGCGCCCCCTGTACTTGGAGCCGGCAGGCTCGCTCTTCGCTTCCCGTTAGGGATGAATGGGACACGGCAGGCAGGCAGGCGGGCGAGGTGGGGCCAGGCTGGAGAACGGTGTCCCAGCCGTGGGGGCGGCTTGAAGGACTGAAGTGAAAATGACCCGCATCCCAGGTACACAGAAAGGGGCGGGCTAACGGCGGAGCACGGCACACCCTGGACGGCAACACTCACACAGGCTGTCCCTTCAGGCTAGCAGTCACTTGTGACAACTGTCCCTAGGCTTCTAGCTGAGGCAGCCATCAGTATAACCATGACGTCTGCCTTGAAAGAGAATGAAGGAAGAAAAACCACTTAATTGTCACATGACTACAGTAGGCAATGGGGTATTTGAAATATTCACAATAGGAGGTAATATAGAGTGAGGAGGGTAAGCATGATTATATAAAGGTCATTTTTTTTTGCTCACTAAAAATGGTTTGAATTAACCTTAATTCTCAGAAAGATTAACAACTTCACCAACTGACAACTGATTTGGAAACACAACAAACCTAGTTTTCTAATCTTAGGGCAAAACCACGACCTGAAACACGTGACCACTGCGACACTAAGCGCTCAAGTGCATACACCTCACGGTCATGCTACAGTCACCTGTTAGTTCTGGAAGTCATTTAAGTCCCTGGGGCTGATTCCTATATTTGCAAAATACTGTTTATGTTTCAAAGGAGTTTGAACAGGACCCTGAAAATTCTATTATCATGTTAACAAAAACATTAAACAAAAATTAAGAATAAAACATCTATGTATTTGCAAGCACTTGAATTCTTATTTTTCCTTTAAAATCACCTGCAATGCAAGGCATTGAATGAACATAGTTCAATCTCATCAGTTAGTCATATGCAGATAAAATTACTTTTACATCAACATACTGTTCTCTCAAATTAAATCTATTAGCATGTATTTTGAACAGAATGAAAAGTCTAATCAAAGGTTAACATCAGAAACATTTATCTCAAAATCAGTGCATTTAATATGTGGCAGTCACAAATCTCATCATTAAAATTCTTTTATCGCTGCTTCGGTAAAAATGAAGGTTCCCGAAGTCCCGAGTCACAGGCTTCTTCAGCTATGCAGCCGGGGGACCTGCCTTCTTCCGGTCTGTTCAGGAGAAAGCGAACAAGCTGCAGCAGCACCTCGTCGTTAAAGCCCTTCACGCCGCTGCCTTCGACGGCTTCATAGAGAGGCTGACTCGGTGTCCCCCAGCATACATTTCTGCGCGCGTTCTCTCGGTCGGCTTGCACAGTCAGCGCCAAAGTATTCAACTGGTAGCAGAAGAAGGAAAAGTACTGTCCATCTGTGATCACGGCCTGGGAGACGAAAGGTCGAGTAACATCTGCTCCGCTCCAGAACCCTAGGGAACAAAGTCACACTGAAGTGTGCACCACAATACACTTTACCCAACAAAACATACGCATGACAGGGTATCGAATACCTGCTGAAACGTAGATATTTCACCTACCAGTTTACTAAAGATCTCAAAGTTTTCCCTATCCATTCCAACCCTGTATTCCCAACTCACGATGCATCTTCTCAACCCTCACTTCCTGTGACAGCAGCAAGCTTATCTGTGAGACTTCCCTACACCTGATATTAACTACATCATTACTGACTTCAAAATCGTTCAAAACTTCCCCATACCAGTAACACCTACCACCCAATAACCACTAACAGCCATTTATTTCACAAAATCTACAAAAACAAACCTTCAGAAAAAATCCACCTTTCTACGGACTTCATCCACGTCCTTAAACTAATTGTGTCTTCCTTCACACACTTCAAAATTAGTTTTATAAACTGCTGTCATTTCACTTAGTGAGGCTCATGTGATAAGGTCCCAGACTGCTTTAACCATAACTACTCGAATTTCCACTGCTTCTTACCCAGGCTGACTGGCCTTCATACATTAAAACCCTACCGCCAAGGCCAAGCAGTAACTTTATTTTTCCACACTTATTTTATATCAGCCTTACTGGAGAGACTCAATAGTAATAATACATGAAATTAATTATATTGTCAAAAGTACTTTATCTTTCGCGAATAAACGGTACCACTCTAAGACCTTCAAGAAAAGATTCTTCACTTGTTTCTGTTATAGAAACTTAAGCCAACAATTGTGAGTATAAGGTTAAATATATCATAAGGGAAGAGGAGAGCTTGGCAATAATAAATCTGTGATAAAATTCCTGAGGAACTTACATAGGATTAAGCCAGTTACGTATTATGTTTCTTTAGGTTTTGTAATAAGATCCAAATGCTTTACAACGGGCTCTGCAAGTCCCGTGATGAGGCCCCCGGCTCCCTCCCCCCATTAGCCTCCACGGTCCTTACACACCTCGTCTGTTCTGACCTGAGACTGACCATTCCTTCGCCTGCAAGGGTCTCCCCCGGGCTTACACTTTGGCAGCATTTTTCTAGAGATCTCCTCTGAATTATGTTTTCAGATTCTGCCCCCTATCTCATCTACACCTGTACCCCACAAATCATTCTACCCCTTATCTACTAATTTTCTTCAAAGTATTATCACCACCCAAAAATATTAACTGTTTATTATCTTCTGCTCTCCTCACTATAATATAAGCTCCAGAAAGTGGGATTTGCATGTCTTATTCAACACTATCTCCAAGTCCAACAGTGCTTGGTACATAGAAAACATTCACTAGTCTGGCCGGTGTGGCTCAGTGGCTGAGCGTCGACCCAGGCACCAAGAGGTCACTGGTTCGATTCCTGGTCAGGGCACATGCCCAGGCTGTGAGCCAGATCCCCAGTGGGAAGCATGCTGGAGGCAGCCATTCGATATTGTCTCTTATTGTTCTATTTCTCTCTCCCTCTCCATTCCTCTCTCTCTAAAAAATCAATTAAAAAAATTTTTTTAAACATTCACCATTTACTGAATGAACAATCTCCTAATCCACACCCTAGATATGGCCTTCAAATAAATGATAGAGAGAACTATGACTTGATCTAAAATTGAACCCACCAAAGCTTTTCCTTTTCTGGCTTCAGAAAGCGGCTGCCATCTACAGAGGTGACTTAGCTGGCTTTAGAGTCTTTGAAATGCTCGAGAACACCGTGGGAAAAAATACCTTCACGCGAAAGTGGTCAACGCAAAGGACCAAGCAACGACCCGAGTGCCACTGCCTCTTGCAAATGTAAGCTACCTAATTGTGGGCTGTAAAACAACTGTTTTGGGGTAACGCACGTTTTCAAAATGTTAAGATTCAACCTACATTTTAACCAAGGAAATGAACTACTAAATTTTTTAAATGTCAGGTAGCTTCCAACAATGCCATAGTTTACCTTGATACATAGCCTGTGCTCCAGTCCAAGCAAACAGGCTTGCAATAGCATTAGCTCTACAAACAACCTCGATCTGATCAGCACGGTTTTGTTTCAATAACCTTTCCCTTTTCAGTTTGTCTGGCAACAGGTGAAACTGGGTGTGACCATAACAGTACAGATCTGCTGTCTTTGAGCCTAAAGAGTGAAAAAAAACATTTGACATGAAATGACAGGGAGAATACCTAGACCACACATCCTCAGTACTTACTCCAAATCCCTTTCTCTCCTCTATCCACCATGGGATCAGGACTCAAAATACACCAATGGGAAGGCTAGTTTACCTATTGTATTGATTACAATAAAAGTTACATTTCACATGATAGTACAGTCTGTCAGCTATCATCAGGCTGCTCACCACGACACAGGATATGTCAAAAGAATGTATTTAAAATTCCTATTATTTCAGGTTTTTTCAAACCCATTAGTCATCACAAGGAACTTCATTATTCTCTTTGTTGTATTCACCAAAGGATACAAACACTTAATGACTTTAAAAACTTACTTTATTTCATTATTTTTTAATTCTCACCTAAGGATTTTTTTTTAATTTTAGAGAGGAGGTGGTGGAGACATAAACACCGATCAGCAGCCTCCTGCACGTGCCTCGACTGGGGATCGAACCCACAACCTAGGTATGTACCCTGACCAAACCCACAACCTGTTGGTGTACAAGAAGACTCGCCAACCAACTGAGCCACCCAACCAGGACAAAACTTACTTTATTATTTTAATGTAATAATTACATACCTCATTCCCAATTTCAAAAATATAATTGATCTTTATACTAAATTTCTAAGTAAAGAAAAAAAGGGCCACTATTTTATGAAATGCTGACATTCCTGAGTTCAGTGGTAAAGTGCAAAGTCCCACATGATCACCCTGAGTCCGCAGCGACGGGGAGGGCTGATGAAACAGGACTGGAGGACTAGTGTAAGCTGCTGTCTTAAAACATTTCATAAGTTGGCTGGGAATTAATAGCTGAAGAAAAAAATAGCAAAAGAAGAAACTGCATAAGGGAGATGTCAGGTCTTATTTTTATATTCCTGATCATACACTCACTGTGTGAGACAAACAGCAGACTTCTGTAAAAAAGCCAATCGTGGCCTCAAGTTCAGTTCTACACTCTTTACTTTTGAAAAAAACACAAGTTACTTTTTCTGTATAATACATCAACAAAGCCTAACAAGTGTAAGTATTTTTTTCAAGTTACATATTGCTAATTCAGTAGAAACAAGTGAAATTTTAAATGGTGAGCTGAGCCCGGCCAGTGTGGCTCAGAAGATTGAGCTCTGTCCCATGGACTGAGAGGTCCCGGTTCGATTACTGGTCAGGGCACATGCCCTTGATCCCCAGTAGGGGTGTGCAGGAGGCAGCTGATGCATGTTTCTCTCTCACATTGATGTTTGTATCTCTCCTTTCCTCTCTTAAAAAAAAAATAAAATAAAATAAAAATAAATAAATGGTGAGCTGAAAGAATACTTTCTTCCCAGTTTTCAGACATATTGTAACAATCTGAGACTATAAATTAATTATGCTGCTCATGGACTATCTAAACCATTGGCCATCAAGAATTAATTAAGCAAATTAGTACAAGGCACCAGGGACATATTTATGTCACAATACATCGAAAGAGAAACTTACCAATAAATATGTTATTTTCATATTGTCGTTTGAATAACGGAAGTTTGTCTGGCTTACAATTCGGAACAGGGATTTCTATAGGTACAGAATAATCCAGCGGCACAAACTTAAAGAAAAAGTCACAGGTCAATTCATAGCAACACTAGTGTATATTTTACTCACATTCCTAATAGATTTAAAAATCTTCAAGTGAGATGTTTTTGCAAAACGGTAACAGTGCCACCTAATAATGGGCCAAATTCAGCCAGCCACCTGTTCTTACAAATAAAGTTTTATCAGAACAGTCATGCACATTCATTTACATATGGTGCCTGGGTATAGGAACTGAGATGAATAGTTGTAATTGAGACTCACAGCCCCTAAAGCCTAAACTATTTATTACATGATTTATAAAAGAAACAAATGTGCCAACCTGATATGGATACATAGGCAACACTAAAATATACTTGCTTTCTCCAAAAGAACTATAAACACATAAAATGACCAGTTGATAACTGTAATAAATGCCTTGATTTATGATTAGGCAGTATAGGTACTATAAATTACAATCATAAACTACTAGCAGTTCTTTAAATTTTTATATTAAGATAAAAAAAAGATTTGTATGTTCCTGAAAACTGATGCCTTAACCTCACTTAAAATGATTATTTGACCCTTGGGGAATACATACACTACAGCAGATTAAAAAGGCGAAAAAGAATTTCAGGTGAAATATATGTGAATGAAACTTTTTACCCTACCAAACCTTTTACCTAGTCTGCCCATGACATTTCCGCATTGGATAGCAACAGGCACATGTGCAGTTTCTTACCTCTGGGAGTTGTTTCGCTATTCGAATCTGGTTGTGTGGTTTATCATTTATTTGGTATCTCAAAGCATCAACTCGACCTTTCCGATGACCATGAAGAATAACTTCTTCACCACGCAACCAGTAAAAGTGAACCGGGCGTCTACGATCTACCAAAAGATATTCAAAACTTTCTTATCACTTAGATAAATTTGGTTATTATCAGAATACTAAACTCAGCAATATAGAACTCAAAAAGGACTCTGCTCATTAAAAATATATCAAAATTACTCTTGGATGTAAGATAGTCTGGGTTATGTGATAATTTAACTTAAATGAACCTTAAACATACGGCTCAAATATCGTCCACTTGTGTCATCGCTGCACTAAACACTGTAACCAAAGCGTTTTCTCAATTACCAGAACAGGAATATCACACACCAGAAATAAGAGGTTTAATACCAGTCAGAGCTGTCATATGAAGGACTGACTGAATCTTCACAATAACTTTGAAAGGTATGCAGAATTGTCATCATTTCCCTTCTACAGAAGAGGAACCTGAGTATTGAGAACAGTTTTCCTAGGCTATCGATCAGGAGTCGAGTCCATGAGGCTTCCCCCAAGATCACTGCCTTCCCAGCTGAGAAGCTGAAGCACATGAGACTCAGTGAGCACCGATCTCCTGTAGCAACATCCACTCAGCAAAGAGGCCTACAAGGGCTGGATTTGAATCCTCACCACCCAATCTACCAGCTCTAAGCTCTTTTAAATAGGTACGTATTACATTTCTGTGCCTCCGGGTTTTTCTTTTTTTTCTTCCCCACTTATGAAACCACGCTACCTACTGTAAACGGTTATTGTGAGGATATGAGTTGGCACATAAAACATTTAGAACAGGGTCAGGCACACAGTACCTACTGAATAAACGCAAACGTCAGGTATTTTAACCCATGCTGCCTTGAGTTTTTACAGTCCCATGCCAAAGTACTCTCCCTGTAACTCTCATCTGGAAAATGAGGAAGATTACACTAAAAGGGGTGCCTTCGTCACCTAACTAGGTGGAAGGGCCAAAAGACAGCGCAGGTCTGTCCCACTCGCTAGGACCCCGTCCGAACCAGCACTGCCCTTCCTTCGGCCGGACTGTCCGTCACCAGGCAGGCAGGGGCTGGGGCGCCCCAGACCTGAACCTCCCAGCCTGGCCCAGTGGCTGCTACTAAAGCCCACCGCCCCCGCTGGGCGTCCAAGGGCTGGGAGCAGCGGGCAGGGAAACCAAGAGGGGGCAGATCCGAGCCGGGGCGGGTCCCGGCCATCGCGCGTCCGCCGCCCGCCCCGCGGGGCCGGCCCGTGCTCACCGAGGGCAGCGGCGGCCAGCACCGGGTTGTGCGCGCTGAGCAGGCCCACGAGGGAGGCCACCAGCTGGTCCAGGAAAGGCGAGGCGAGGGCCTCCCGCTCCTGGTAGAGGGGCGCGCGCCCCTTGCGCCGCAGGTAGAAGTGCTCCTGCAGGAGGCAGTCGCACGCGGCGGCGCGCAGGGGCTCGAGGTCCGGGGCGGGCGCGGGGTCGGAGGGCTGGGTCGCCAGGCCCGGCGCGGGCGCGGGGTCGGAGGGCTGGGTCGCCAGGCCCGGCGCCGGCGCGGGGTCAGCGCGCAGGGCCGCCGGGTGGGCGGCGGGCGGCAGGCCCGACAGGAACACGGTCTTGGTGAAGCCCTGGTACCAGCGGTCCGCGTTCAGCGAGAAGGTCTGCGGGTACACCACGTACTTCATGAACTGCATCTTGGTGAGGAGGCGGATCTTCTCGTCCACGGACGGCGCCGCGTGCACCGCCGCGTGCCACCGCTCCACTCGCCGCTGCCGTGCCGCCTTGCTTTTGGCCGTCAGGGAGGCCACAATCGGCGGGTAGCGCGCGACAGGCGCCGCCGCGACATCGGCGCCGGTGACACCTGCAGTCCCGACGGCGGCCTCGGCGTGCAGTGACCGCCGCGGGCCGCGGGGCACCAGCCGCCACCCCCTGGCCGCCGCCATCTTGGCCCGCAGTTCCGGGCCAGATGTCGATTTCCGCAGTTGTCCCGGCTCGCTGGCCTGAAGGACCAATCGGAAAGCGGGATCTGAGCCAGTCTTCCGGAGGCCGGCTCTCAGTGGGCTTGAGAAATGGGCGTCATGCATTTCTTAGCCAATCGGGTCGCTTCATCAACTTGGTGTCTCTTGGCGCGGAGCGTCAGTAGCTGCGGGGCCGAACTCGTGCGCCGATAGGTTTCCTGCGGCTCCGGCGCGTGGGAATGAAACCTTTAAACCGGGTCCTACCATCTCCGTTGCTCTCGGACACCCGCAAGCTTCTGGCCAGAATCGTAAAGGACATTCCTCACAGAAGCTTCTAGCGCTTGGCTAACGTGGCTGTGTTCCTTTGTTTTTGGCGCATCACTTTTGTTTCAGTTCTTGAGGTTGAAACTTATTAAAGATACTAATCTAGCATGATTGTTGATAATACATGCTCATTTTAAAAATAATGCAAGCATCTCTCCTGACCACTGCTAAATCTGCGAAAATAGTTTCACATATCTCTATGCTAATTGATGCATAGATCATTTGTTTAATGATAGGATTTACAAACAGGAATATACTTTTACTTGCTTTTATCTTAAGAAGTGCAATAACAAACTACAAAGGAATTGTGTTTAAATTTTGCTATGTTAAAATCCATTATTATTTCAGCATGAATTGATCTCTACTAATCTGTGAGGACCTTGAAGAACTGTTTTATTTTTAATTCTTAACAACCAATATCTGTGCAGTAATTCTTGGGAGCATATTTATGTATGAATATTACATTTCTATGTATTTTAATAATAATTTGCCATTTGACTCATTACTAGAATGTTATTTTCGGTTTAAAAGATTTAATCCAGAAGAAAAACGCTGGAAAGGATGCCATTTTTTATATTGTAAGTTGTCCGACCAAATATCTGCTCCCAGCCTCCAGTTGCCAGGACCAACTGTGCTGATCACAAATCTGCACCAGTTTCCTGGAACTCTAAGATAGGCAGGGCTGGCCACCTGGACGGGGTGACCACTTACAGTGCTTCAGTGTGACAGGAAGCTCCAAAGCCTAAAATTGTCTTTTTCCTTTTCCCTAGGATTGAAATTCTATGAGAAATCCCTTGCTTTTCTGTCTCTGGAAGTTCCAATTGAAATAACAAATGTCTCTAGAATGGAAGTACAAACATCTCTGGAATTAGAAGTACATTTGTGCCCCAGCCAGTTTGGTTCAGCGGTTAGAGTGTCAGTCTGCGGTCCAGAGAGACTCTGGTTCGGTTCCCACTAAGGGCACGGACCTAGGTTGCAGTTTGTCCCCACCCTGGTTTGGTTGTGCGGGTGGCAGCTACTCCATGTGTCCCTTTCAGATGTTTCCACCCCCCCACCCCCCACTCTATATGAACAAAAAATAGAAAAATGTCCTCCAGTGAGGGGAAAAAAAAGAAGTACCTTTGGTACCAACTATTGGGTTTAGTAATGGTTATTTGTTCTTAAGATAGTTATGTAAATTAAAATTATCTTAAATCATAAATAAAAACTATAGAAACTTCTGCCAGTTTTTGATGTAGTACCAAGCCCTTCTCTATAAATATGAATTTATAGGTGCATTTATTTTTTTGTATAAAGCACATCTCTACTAAATCATTTATGGTTTTCATTTTTGGTAGAATACACATTTACAAAGCAGCCTGAATATAGAATCTTTCTTGGCTTTTCTATTTCCCTTTCCTCTTTCCCCGTATTTTACCACTGTTTCGGAAGCATCTAATTCAAGTTGTTTTGAGGCAACTCACACCAGGATTTTTTTTTAAGCTTAGTTTTTATCATTTTAATTATTATTATTATTGATTTTTTAGAGAGAGGAAGGGGATAGAGAGAAACGATGTGGGAGAGAAACATTCATTTGTTGCCTCCTGCACGCCCCCTACTGGAGATCGAGCATTTCCCCTGACAGGTAATCTAACCTGGACCTCTCAGTCCATGGGATGACACTCAATCCACTGAGCCACAGCAGCTGGACAGTTTTTATCATTTTAAAACTTAATTTTCTCACTTTTCATATTTATGTTTGATCATTTAAGCTATTTTCGTTAATTTACCTAGCTACAATAGTAAACAAAGCTGGTATGACCAGGTCTGGGAACAAATTGATAAGCACACCTGGGCTCTGGAAGCAGAGGTGCTTTGAGTTTGTTGTACATGATGTACGTCTTGCAGGGTAACAGGAAGTGAGTTAACCTTGCAGTTAAGTCTGGCAAATGCTTGAAAGACTATGCTTTAAATACTTACCTATTAAGAGTAGAGATGAGACTTGCAAGATTTCAGGAAGTATGTCTTAGTGGTTTGGAGAAAGTGGTCAATACTGTGAAGTGTAGTGGGTCAGAGCATGAAGCCTGGAGTAGGTTATCTAGGTTGTCCTCCCAGAACCGGCACTTGAATGCGTTGTGGGACTGACGAAGTTCCTGAGATCCCCCCAAGCCTCACCTTTCTTATCTATAATATGGAAGTTAGTATTACCTGTTCTCATTTCTCACAGGGTCACTACAAGATCAAAATCAAAGAGGATGCACTTTAAGCATTATGTTGTTCATATTTTTATAAGGAAGGGAAGGGAAGAAGGTAGAAAGTAATTAGTTTTCATAATACAGAAATTTCATTTTTTAAATACCCACTATTGGCCTGGCCAATAGTGTGGCTCGGTGGTTGAGCATCAACCCATGAACCAAGATGTCGTCAGTTCGATCCTGGTCAGGGCATATGCCCAGGTTGTGGGCCAAATTCCCAGTGGGGGGCATGCAGGAGGTGGTCAATCGATGTTCTCTCTCATCAATGTTTCTATCTGTTCTCCCTCTTTCTGATATCAATAAAGAAAAAAATTAATAAAGTGAAATAAATGCCTACTTTTGGAAGAGTATATAGTTTATTTTGTATCAGAGCCCATTTCCACTCAGCTCCTGTCTGGAAGAATTGTTATTAAGTGAATGATGAAGAATTCACCAGCTGCCAAAATGTCACTCTTTATTGTTTGGACTATGCCATTCATTTATTTTCTCATCAAAGATTTATTGAATGTTTACTCTATGTTAAATGTCAGGCATAGGAAGAAATGACTGTGACTTGTCCCTATACATGAGGAGCTCACAGACCGAAAATAAGTTCATGAAGAAATAATCAGAATGCTACATAGTAGATATTACCTTAGGAATACATACAAAACGTGTAGAATTGTGTTTCTTAATGATACTTAAGGTTAATATCCCCATAGCTTCTTATCTATTGAATTTTGATTCCTTGGAGAATGCGGATTGATTGTGGCAGGCACTCTTGGACTGCAACAGTCATCCAGCTCTTGCTTTCCTACCTGGAAGAGCCTGAATTGTGTTCAGGGACTTACCCTTCACTGTATCTGCGCACATGACACTTCCCTCAGTCCTTGGGGTGGATCATGATTAGCCCGAGCTAATTACAGCAATTCTGGCCTCTTCTCAATGATGACTCTGAATGAGTCTAAGACCCAAACCTGGTCAATGAAGGCTGAAGGGGAATTTTCCCTGGGGCTTCAGGAAAAGTTTGTGTGTGAGAGTGTGTGTGTGTGTGTGTGTGTGTGTGTTTTAAATAAAAGGAGACACCATGTCCCCAGAAGGTATAGTTATTGTCTCCATATTGCTTGAAACTCTGCTTTAGCCGTTCATAGCCATGAGAGGAGATGTCACAGAAATGCTAAGGATGACAGATGGAAAGATAGCTCTGGTTCCTCGATATTTTCATGTTGAATTAAACAACGTGTCATAAAGGGTTAATTGGCCAGGCTTAGAGTGTTAGATCTGTGACTATTCCAAAAAAAGGACTGGCCCTGTGTGTATCTGGACATAACCTGAAGCCTTTGAAATATGCTCCTAGAATAGTGGTTCTCAAACTTCCTGATGCCGCGACCGTTTAATACAGGTCCTCATGTCGTGGTGACCCCCACCATAAAATTACTTTTGTTGCTACTTCATAACTAATTTTGCTACTGTTATGTCTTAGGCGACCCTTGTGAAAGGGTCATTCTACCCCCAAAGGGGTCGCGACCCACAGGTTGAGAACCACCATCATAAAGGAATGTGTTTCTTATATAATTGGGGTCTTGGGTCACACAACATCAGCTTGAGCTCTGGCGAGGCTAGAGATTGAGTAATTAAGGTCAGCCAAGCAGGCATTCTGTGCCTATGTGGCTGACCTCCAACAACCCCAGACATGAAGGCTCGGGTAAGCTGCCCATGTTGACACCACTTCATCACATGTCATTGCTGGGAGAAGCAAGCATCATCTGTACGACTGCACTGGGAGAGGTCAACTGGCAGCTTGCCCAGTTGGACTGGACTGTTTGCACCTTTTCCTTTACTGGTATTAATCTCTGTCCTTTTACTATTACAAACAAAAACAAAAGCACAACCATGAGTGTAACACCTTTTTCCAGTTCTGTGAATCCTGGCAAACCATCAAACCAAACCTAATAAGGGTGATCTTGGGGATGCCCGAGACTACAACCCTGGAAACATTCACTTCTCATTCCTTATCAGAATTTGGGGTGGGGCAGGGAGACTTGGCAGACATTTCAATGTCAATTCATTCTGATTTTCTAGCAAGCTAACTTTATTATCTTCTCACATGAACTACGACTATGCTACAGCCCATACACTGCAATTACTGTCATTGAAGCGCAAAGTCAACACTTAACATTAGCCCTGCCTGATGTCATTTTATTCAGGTCAGACAACTCTATCTTTTCATGATCTTTTCTAGGTCCTGTTCTGGACCAGAATTTTTGCTATTACTCCTTCCTCACTGTTTGCCAAAATATATGAAATGGCATATTTTTATACATCTCTCATAATATATGTTGCATGAGAGCAGGAATCTTATCTGTCTTGTTCAAATCAATCTCCCTAGTACAAAATAGATGATTGGATACAGAAGATGTGGTACATATATACAATGAAATATTACTC